ATTTATTTATTTATTTATTTATTTATAGATTACTTCACAAAAGCAATATAACCTTGCGCTTCGGAAATGCAACAATGGCCTGCAACCCTCCCGTTCTTCCACTTCCCCTCCTTCCAAAGCACAACTCGAACCTAAACACACCTGAAACCCAAACCCTAACCCTAACCACTTCCGAGCAATGGCTCGTCTCCTCCCTAAGCTCCTCACCCACAGCCTTCAACCTCGGTGCACTCCACGCTCTCTCCCTTAAGACCGGCCTCTTACGCCGACACACCGTCCTCTCCCATCTCCTCCTCCACTTCTCCTCAACCTCATCCTCTCTTTTGCTCCTCCGCTCCCTCTCCGCTTCTCCCGACTCCCCTTTCCCCTTCAACTCCCTTCTCTCCTCCTTCTCCCACTCCGGCTTCCACCTTCACGCCCTTGAAGCCTACTCTATCTTACGCTCCCTTTCCGTACCCATCGACTCCTCCACTCTCCCGCCGCTCCTCCGCTCCGCTGCATTCGCGTCCTCCATTCCCGCCGGCCTCGATGCCCATGTACTAGCCTTCAAGACAGGGCTCACTGATCACCTCCCAATTGCCACTGCACTCATCCGCTTCTACTTTGCTCTTGGCCTCCCCACCCTCTCGCGGTCCATCTTTGATCGTTGCCGCACACGTGACTCTGTTCTCTGGAACACAGCAATTGTAGGGTTTATTCACAGCCATGATTTTGATGCTGCACGGCAACTGTTTGATGAAATACCTTCACGTGATCGGAATATTTCTTCATGGAATACTATGGTTGATATGCACTGCAACAAGTTGGGTGACGTGGACATGGCAAGGAAGGTGTTTGATCAGATGCCAAAGAGGGATGTTGTCTCTTGGAATGCCATGATATCAGGGTATGCGAGGGTTGGCAACTGTAAATCAGCAAGGAAGCTTTTTGATGAAATGCCAGAGAGAGATTTAGTCTCTTGGAATGCTGTCATTGCTTGCTATGTCCAAAATGGATACTTTTCAGAAGCTATAGAGCTGTTTAGAAAAATGCAAGGGGCTAAAAAGTTTAGGCCTAATAAGGTTACAGTAACTGCTGTGTTGCCAGCTTGCGGCCATCTAGGTGCTCTGGATCTTGGCAGATGGATACATAGCTACATCAAGAGGCAACGCATGGCCATCGACCTTCAGATGAGCACTGCTCTCATCGATATGTATGGTCGATGTGGCTGCATCGAGGATGCAAAGACTGTGTTCGACCAATCGCCAAGGAAGGATACATTTTTATGCAGCACTATGATTGAGGTTCTTTCGATGCATGGGATGGCCGAAGAAGTATTCAGCGTCTTCAACTACATGAGAATGGAAGGAATCAAGCCAAATGATTGCACCATAGTTGGGCTCTTGAAGGCATGTGCTCATCAGGGCTTGGTGGAAGAAGGGCTTAGATGGTTCAATATGATGGAAGAAGAGTTAGGATTGAGTCCTAAGGTGGAGCACTATGGCTGCGTTGTTGATCTAATTGGCAGGGCAGGGAAGCTGGATGATGCATATCAGCTTATCTTGAACATGCCAATGGAGCCAACTCCTGTGTTATGGTCTTCGCTGCTTAATGCTTGTAGGATTCATGGTGATGTTGAGCTCACGGAGAAGGTTGGTCGCCATCTTGTTGAGTTAGAGCCTGAGAGCTGTGGAAACTATGTGCTTCTGTGGAACATTTACTCGGCAAATAGGAGATGGGAGGATGCAGAAAGCGTGAGGAATTTGATGAAGGAGAGGGGGATTGCTAAGAGGCCCGGATGTAGTTCGGTTGAAGTGAGGAATGAGATTTATGAGTTCTTCGCTGGGGATCGAAATCATCCTCGTTGCGGGGAGATTTATGAGATGCTGTATAGGGTGGCAGGGAGATTAGGATACGATCCATGGAGAAGCTTGGAGTTGCTGGAGGAAGGAGGAGATAGGAGGCATAAGAATGGGCTTATACATCACAGTGAGAAGCTGGCTCTGGCTTTTGGCTTGATAAGCACAGAGGAAGGAACAACTATTCGGATAATTAAGAATTTAAGGGTCTGTGAGGATTGCCATTTGTTTTTGAAATTGGCTTCTGCCTGCTACGGCAGGAAGGTGATTGTGAGGGATTGTCACCGGTTTCATCACTTCGTGGATGGTTCCTGCTCTTGTTTAGATTATTGGTGAAGGTCGTGAATAGAAAAAAGGTGGTGTTTGCATACATATCACACAATTTTTATTTATTTATATATCTGTTGAATTTGGATCTATCTGTAAATCACATTCCAAAGAATAGAGCGTAAGAAAAAAAAAGAGTCATCGAGAGAAAGTGGAGTGAACAGTAAAACATCTTATCTATTAACCATTTTCTCATAAAATGGTCTCTTCATTTCTAGGGAATTGTATAATATAATGATATTACATTTATGCACCTGATTTAATGGGTTGTACATGATATTCTAGGTATTTTACATATATGAGTTTTTTACTCAGTTGCCTTCTGACTCGATCAGTTGGGCTAGTATGACTTCGGCTTGGTTAGGTCGATTCGGTCGGCTAGGCTTAGCCGGTGTTATTGGTTGGTTGGGCTTGATTCACTTCAGATCGGTGGAACTAACTCAATCGGCTAGGCTTTATCGATCAGTTGATTTAGTATGTTATCGACCTTGATTTCCTGAATGAGGAGCGCCTATCGACAAAATGAAACTAGGCTATCAAGCAGATGGTTCATCATCGTAACCAGATATATAGCTCATTCATCGATGAGGGAAACCTTTAGGATGATTATGAGATTTTGTTTTATCACCGATTATCGGTCCCTTATGAGAAGCCTTGGGGGCGTTCATGGGATGGTTGGTGATATTGAGGAATGAGACCCTTTCCCCGAGTCAGATTAACATGAAGGTAAGTTGATGTCTTCGCTCGACATTCTTGTAATGGTCAATTTGGATGTTTATCTGGTTTGTTTTAGTCTGATTGGTTCAAACTCGAATCATTCTTTTTGTCATTATCATGGCTCGGTGAGCTTTCAGACTTGGCTCAGATGGCTATATCTGATCAGATAAGTGGGCCTCTTGGTTTTTGTTGGTGGGTCATTTTTTTGTCGTGCTTCATCTCTTCTAAATCGTTGGATCTTCTCGGGATCAACACTAATATGTTATTTTAACTTTTTTTTTTTTTTTTTTTCCTTTTGAATCGCCATTCCTTTTCGCATCACTCCAAAATTATTTTTGAAAAGTAAAATATATTTTTTTTCATGCATAGGTAATGTGGTGCATGTGGTTCATTGAATTGTAGGACAAGCTTTCATGTTGTGTAAAAATATTTAAGAAATAAAAATTGAAATGGGAGAAAATTTTTAATTCAAATGTCAAAGTGACTTGGGTTCCATTTGAGGTCATTTATTGTGTTTGTAATTATTTGTAAAAGTTGATATAAGATTGTTGTTGTGCCACATTAATCATAACTAGGGCATATCAATGCCACATATAAAACCTACATTAAACCAAAGCTGAACTAATAATTAAGGAGGTTCTTAACCTCAGAGGGCTAATTACTTATAAATTTCCATCTTCACCACAATGATAAATAAGGATTTTTGTTGATTTTTTAACAATCTGTCACTCCTATGTCAAATATTACAAACTAAGTTAGAAGTAATGAATGTATCCTCTTAACTTCTTTATGATGAAACTAAGAAGAAGCATGAAGAACTGGCTTAAGCCTCAACTAAAATAGGAAGAACTTCTTCACTTTTTAGCTTTTACATTTTTTTTTTCAGCTATAATTGTGCTTCTCATTTGTATATAATCATTTTTATAGTTGAGCGGTAATGATTCTTGCAATCTTCAGATAAAATTTCTCTTCCAGAATGTCAAAAGAGAGAAAAATTTGCGTACATAACAAGCACACAGGGCTGCATACATTTAGGGGTTATAGGGAGATTATAGGGAGGCTACATCCGTGTTATACTCATGTAACCTTCATATAACCTCCCTGTAACCTCCCTATAACCCAAATGTACGCAGCCCTGCGTACTTGTTACATACGCAAATTTTTCTCATCAAAAGGTACTTGCTTGTAGATTGCGTACATTAGGATTGGCTTATTTAATTAAGCAAATAATTTTAATTCTTATAAAATCAATTAGCTCATTTAATAAACTCTCTGTTCATCCAAGAACAAACTAAGCCATTAATGAGTTTTAAGTCAAAATATAATATATTTTATTTAAAATATTTTGAATTTATTTGATTCGGTGTAATATCAATGCAGGACTTTACTTTTTTTTATTTATTGGATTTAAATAAATTACAAATGCATTATAATTTTATATTATATTTTAAATTCATCCGACAGATTATCTAACAATATATATATATATATATATATATTGGCCTCCACCAACCGGCTCAACTAACCCAAGTATCCTTGTCCTACATGCACCATATATATTACAAGGAACTAAAATATATCTAATAAAAAATAAATATTCTGTCAAAATAACTAAATTCTGAATCCATCACTGTCCAAAGTGTACTGTTAACTAATACGTGTCATATAGTATATTCACTCAAAGCTGCATGCACGAATGTCAACCAACCACGATATAAAGTAGTCATGTGTAGTCCGGTCCACATGCCAAAAAATCACAGAAGGGCCAAGTACCAACAACCCATTAAAAATGGCATCACTTAACAGTAAGGGCAGCGAGAGCATACACGTGTCACCCCGACCTACCCACTTTTTAATATATGAAACACGTTTTATTTACGATTGGAATAAGAAATCAGATGCCGGAATAGTAAAACTCTAAGATAAAATTCCTGCTTAATATATGAAGACTCAACCAAATCAACTCACTTAAATCATGATACTCATCTTTAGGGGTGTGAAGTCGAGCCATGTCTTTGTCGAGCAAAGCTCATCTGCTAGAATATGAGCTCGAGCTTGGCTCGAGAGGCGGCTTGCAAGCTCGAACTAAAAATTCAATTTTTATGGCACTTGCTGCAGAAGGTATTGGTGGAAGGAGGAGGATGATGCAGCTACAGCTTATTGGAAAATGCATTGAGAAGACTAACGGTAGGCTAATCAAGTTGGCTCGGGAGCTAGCGACCCAAGCCTCGACGAGCTCGTGGCTCGATACCCGTGAGCTCGTTAATGAACCGAGCTCGAGCCGGCTTGGCTCATTTACACCCCTACTCATCTTACATCTTCATCCTCTCGAGCAACCAAACAATTATTTATCAATCTGAATGATAAATAACACTTGTCAATTAGGCATGTTATGAATATTTATATATCAACTTGATAATGACAGACAACAGCGTGTTAGTTTAACATACATCAGTCTACATATTTTAATCTGAATATGGCTAGGCGCCCCATCAAACAATAGATCATGTTACATAACCATTGTATTTTAGTTTCTCTTTTTAAGCTTAACAATAGCCACTTATGCAATATAATTTATACCAAACAAACTGATAAGTAGGACATTAAAGATTCAAGCTAGGAATCAAGGGTACATATGTTCTCTTATGAATAAAATCCTAAAACTTCTCTCTATAAATCTAATTCCTATCTCTCCAAGTGGTGCATTAATCATTATGGGTCACTCTAGTCCAGGACTATATCCAAATTTCTCATTCTGGAGAGTCTGTACTAAAACTGCTGTAAGAATAAAGGGTTGTCACTCCTTTTCTGTTAATTTTGACCATATTCTTTCATTTATTTTTATATCTGGGTTTCCAGATCTTCTCTTCATAAAATACATGGCAGGAAAATCTTACTTCTCAGCACCAAAATTTTTGATATTATTTGTAAGGGGGATTGGTCATTTATATCCTACTCTAATGTCCCTCAATGTATGTGCAAGATTACCAATATTGCAATTGCGGATAATCATTTCTCTTGCATTTGAAAAAAGCTGGATCATTACTCTCACAAGTTTGCTCATCTTTTTGACTACGAGGCCCTCCCAAAAGTGGATTGGTTCAATTTGGTTTGGTTTAAGAGATACTACTTAAAATTTGCTTTACAGATTTGGAAAACTATATAATATGGCTTAAAATCAAAGAAGCTCTCATTAGTAAAGGCATTACTATTAACCTTTTGTGTATTTTTTGTCAATAAGAGTTAGGAAACTCATAACAAACTTTACTTTGAGGGTGCCAATCTCTCATGCCTTAATAAAAAGATGGATACGAGTATAATATGTAAGATTAAATCGTCACTTTAGTTAATTAACCCAAATCATATTCAATTCGTAAATCAGATTTGAGTGTGTGTGTGTGCATTAAAAAAATAGAAAGATGTATCGCAAAGTGTGTTACACCCGTGCACTGTCCCAGACAGTCTCGAACCCGGGATCTTAGGAGGTCTTACACATTCTGCCAAACCAAATAGCCAACCTGGTTCGCGTATATGTGTGTGTATATATATATATATAAAGGAATTGTCAGAGGCTATTATACGAGCCTCCAGTAACCCCTAATGAGTTAAATGTTCAAGTATCATATCCTACACTGAGGAATTTGAACCCGTGATCTGAGGGGACTTACGACCTTTAAAGAAGCTGCTCTCAACCAACAGGTTGAGCACACACGCGTATATAGATACATACATACATGTATATGTATATATATGTATATGTGTATGAGTATATATGCTTGTGTGTGTGTGCTCGCGCGCGCATGTGTGTAATTCAACTAGAAGAGAAGCTACAACCCAAAAAAACCACATATAAGAAGTAAAATGAAAAATAATGGAAATAAAATGATATGAAAGGTAGCCCAAAAAAGTAATCCAATCCATTAATATCCTCAAAACTTCATAAACATACTTAATTATAGGCAACATTACAAAGAAGAAGCGAACAAGAAGATGGAACCCACAAATCATAACTTGTCCATAAAAGAAAAATAAGCAATCCAATAAACCCACTGAAAAAAAAATGTCTTCAATATATGCCTGTAATCAGCAGCAAGATCAATTTTAGAGGGAAAAAAAAAAGTCATGCTATTCAATTCAGAGCCTACGACAAAATTCTGAAGCCATTGTATGGATGATATGTGACATGTTAATAATGCAAATTTCTTTTGGCCTTGTTTGGGCTCACTCTTGAGCACAGTAGCATTAATCATTTAAAAAATGGGGCATTTACATGTATACCACACAATTCTTATGTATTTACTTATCCAACACCTAAACATTTATATTTATATGCATACCACTCAAATCTTTAACATCA